TATTCTCTGTGTATATCAATGATGTCGCTCTTGCTGCTGGTGACTCTCAGATCCACCTCTACGTAGACGACACCATTTTGTATACATCTGGCCCTTCATTGGATACTGTGTTAACAACCTCCAAACGAGCTTCAATGCCATACAACACTCCTTCCGTAGCCTCCAACTGCTCTTAAACGCTAGTAAACTAAATACATGCTCTTCAATCGAACGCTGCTTGCACCCGCCCGCCTGACTAGAATCACTACTTTTGGCGGGTCTGACTTAGAATATGTGGACAACTACAAATACCTAGGTGTCTGGTTAGATCGTAAACTCTCCTTCCAGACTCACATTAAGCATCTCCAATCCAAAGTTAAATCTAGAATCGGCTTCCTATTTCACACAAAGCCTCCTTCACTCATGCTGCCAAACATGCCCTCGTAAAACTGACTATCCTACCGATCCTTGACTTCGGCAATGTCATTTACAAAATAGCCTCCAACACTCTACTCAGCAAATTGGATGTAGTCTATCACAGTGCCATCCATTGTGACCTGTACGCTCTCATTGGCTGGCCCTTACTACATATTCGTCGCCAATCCCACTGGCTCCAGGTCATCTATAAATCTCTGCTAGGCAAATCCCTGCCTTATCTTAGCTCATTGGTCTCAATAGCAACACCCACCTGTAGTATGCGCTCCAGCAGGTATATCTCACTGGTCATCCCCAAAGCCAACACCTCCTTTGGCCGCCATTCCTTCCAGTTCTCTGCTGCAAATGACTGGAACGAACTGCAAAAATCTCTGAAGCTGGAGACTCTTATCTCCCTCACTAACTTTAAGCATCAGTTGTCAGAGCAGCTTACCGATCACTGCACCTGTATACAGACCATCTGTAATTAGCCCACCCAACTACCTCATCCCCATATTGTTATTTATTTTGCTCATTTGCACCCCAGTATCTCTATTTGCACATCATCTTCTGCACATATATCACTCCAGTGTTAATACTACATTTAAATTATTTTGCACTATGGCCTATTTATTGCCTTACCTCCATAACTTACTACATTTGCACACACTGTATATAGATTTTCTATTGTGTTATTGACTGTATGTTTTGTTTATCCCATGTGTAATTCTGTGTTGTTGTTGTTGTTTTTAATCGCACTGCTTTGCTTTATCTTGGCCAGGTCGCAGTTGTAAATGAGAACTTGTTCTCAACTGGCTTACCTGGTTAAATAAAGGTGAAATAAAATAAAATAAAATAAAGACACAACAGGCACATTTATAAAACATCTGGCTCCACTAAATGCAGCATAACTTGTAGTGTACAGACGTAGGATCTTAAATTTAGACAGTTTGCTACAGCAGGAAAATAATCCTGCAGCAACAGGAAATGTGAATTATTATGTGGATTACAAGTTTTACATTTCCTGCATTGCAGGAAAGTTCTCCTGGATCACGATGATCAAATTTAGATCATACATCTGTAGTAAGCTCTATGACTATATTCTATTCTATTCAACAATTGATAGATTCTTTCCCCAACTACACTAATTCCATGACTCACAAACAAATTCCATATTTATTACAAAGTGTTGTCTTTATCAACTTCCTTAGTAAGACCTGTAGCCTGCTGAGTGAGTGTTTAGAATAATAACTTTCCCTGCTTATAACACTAACACCACCGCATGCCATTTAATTTACAATCATGTGGTGACCTGACTCAACAGCTGTTGTTCTATTGATCCCCAGATCAGTTTCCACCCTTTAAGGATGAGTTCATCTTCACTCCCCGTTTCCTTTCCACCCTCCACCCCCTTCAGCGGCAGAATATTAATTCCTCCCTCCCTCCCTTCAGGCAGACAGATAAAGCAACCTTAGAGCCAGCTGTTCAATCAGTGTATATTTCTGTTTGGTGCTTTGATGTTCTGAGGGCAGATCTCTGAACGCATGTCTCTTTGTTCTGAAATCACCAAATATACAAAGGGCAATTTTGCAGCAGGATGTAGGGATGACACAGACCCCTGGCTCTACATCGCCAACAGATGTTTGTTCTAGCTAATAGGGCTAAGGGGGGAAGGAAAGCACGGTACTGCCTGTCACACCCTCTCCCCTGTCGCCCCAACGTCAACCAACAGAAAAACCTCCTCCTCGCTACAGTATATTTGCTTTTCCCACGTCATTTACAACATACAGTATGCCATGGTGTCACGCCCTGACTCTGAGGACTCTTATTTGTTGAGTCAGGGTGTGATTTTCCTTGTTGTGTTTGTTCATTGTTGTAGAATCTAGTATGTCTAGATCTATGTTGTCCGGTGTGGTTCTCAATCAGAGGCAGCTGTCGCTCGTTGTCTCTGATTGGGGGACCATACTTAGGCAGCCTATTGGCACTAGTGGGTGGTGGGATCTTGTTCCGTGTGAGGTATGTTGTTTGTCTACCTTGGACTTCACGTTTCGTTTCATTTGTTGTTTTGTCGTGGTGTTTATTCAATATAAATAAACATGTATGCATATCACGCTGCGCCTTGGTCCGTCCCGTCTGTAAACGATCGTGACACATGGCTCTCTTAGACCTCCTCTCAGAGCCAAGGAGCAATATTTTCTAACTTATTTGATTTTTTATATACTATAGATTTCCTTCTATTAAACGCAATATCTTGAAATTATTATTTTAATGGCTAGCTCTCCCTTGAAAGTTCACCACCGCTCATAATGTGGGCTCCATGAATCCTTGAGAATTTGCTTTAATATGAAAAGCATCCTCTGCCCATTCAACCAGCTCTTTAAGGATTCACATGTGAGGCCATGTGCTAAACAGAGTGAGTACGGAAGTGTACTAAACAACCAAAGATTTCAAGACTAAATGCTGGTTTATACTACGTCTATCGACATGTCTGTATACAGTTGTCGCAGTGACATCATGAACATTGTCGTCCGACATCAAACTTGTCGTTGTCGTTATGGAAAAGTATAAACACAAAAACGACAGACATCAGCTGCCTGGTGGTCCAAAATAGCATAACTGGTGTATTTTAACACCAATAAACCCATCCATCTAAACAATGTTTTGGTTAGTTTCTAGCTTGTTATGACCATATAGCTGACAACGTCTTAACTTTAGCTAATTTGTTCCATTATTACAGGAAAATAAACTCACAACAAGATCATTATTTACAAGTTAATGGCGATCTAATTACAGAAAATAGCTTACGGTTGTGATTGTGACGAAATACAAGCAGGGCATTGTACCGGATAATTTTTGAACATGGACACTGTCTCGTTGGCCTAACGTTATATCCTAGTTTGACTTTGGTGCAGGTCATGTTGTTCTTCACATTACCGTCTCTGGTAAACACATACTATATCAAATAAAATTGAAGTTTATTTGTCACATGCAAAGGATACAGAAGGTGTAAACGGTACAGTGAAATGGTTACTTGCATAGTTTAGTCTTTTGTTTAGACATGTAGCTAGCTAGCTAAACAATGAACCACAATCCCAACTCATAACGTTACTACCCTGCATGCATCTACAGGTAGCTAAAGCTAACCAACTAGGTTCAATGTTAGCTAGCTAGCTGACATTAGGCTATAACTAGCAATGCAAATGGCTCTGAGATACGAATAATATTACTACACAGATCACGTAATGTTAGCTAGCGAGCCAGCCAGCCAGCTAATGTTAGCTAGCTAGCTAACAGTATGCATTAACTTGCAATGAAAACAACTTTCTGATAAAATTAGAAACATATATAATATCTGAAAATGTAGCCAGCTAGACTCTCTTACCCATATACATGAATGAACGCTTCTCCCTCTCTGTCATGGATGCCATGGTTGCCCTTAGTTTGAAGATGTAATCTGGAGACAGGTGTTTTATACAACAGCCTTCTGTGTTCTCTTTTCAACTCCCTCCGCATATTTGCAATCAAATGCCTGAATTTTCTCCATCTCCTTAGCTATCATACTCTGCTTCCATCGGGCATTCCACTGATTTCAAAACTTGGTCCTCCAGAAAGTGGAGAGCATTATCAACACTTTTGCAGTTCTTCGTGATATATTTTTAAAAAGCTGCATTAGAAAGGATTACCTACATGGCAGACCAATCTGAACTTATCTCTCGGCATGTCCATCCCTTCCATTGTCTCAGCCAATCATGGCTAGCGGGAAGGTTCCTGTCTTTTTCCGTGGCTAAACCAACTAGGCTCGTAATTTAACAATTGTATTTGTATTTACAGATGGCATACAAGTTTGTTATTAAGGCACATGCAAGTTCACATGTTCCAGAAGGCATATCTGCCAAAAAATGCATTTCTTAAATGCATTTTTTATTTACGTTCAAATGCCTCTCCTGTGAAGTAGTGACGCGGGACATACGCCTAGTTTCCTGAAACGAGTCACATTTACACTCTTCTTCAACCTGCAGAATCTACAGCCCAAAAGCTGCTGGTTTGATGCTGTTCTTTACCACACACACTTATACGAGCATATTGCCCTCCTTTTCTTTTCAAAGTCTGGCTGATATTTTACTTGTGTTGCCAGTATTTTTTACTGTAGGTCTACTAATCTCAGGGGTGGAATTTTTAAAACGTAACTGGGAACTCACCATTGTTAATTTACCAAGAGTTCAGTTATAAAAAACAACAACACTTTTTACCTGACAATATCATGTCACATTCCCACACAATTCTACCCCTGATGTGTATTGCTGTAACATCTATATTCTCTTCTACTACCATCCTCTCACTGAGTACACTCCACCGACAACCCTCTTCAACAGTCAACATGCTATCTTGTTGTTAGAAGGATTTTCCCATTGCGTGTTCCACCTAACATCCAGCTAGGTATACGGTTGTATTTATCAAACACGCTCGCCGAGTGTAAATATATTCATTGTAAATATTTTCATGTCTTCTTAGTGCTTATCTCCTAACCTCCCCCGTTAGCTGGTCTGGCACAATATTCTTTCAAAAGTAACCGGAGAAGAAAGCAGGAAAACAGGGCTTTACCATCACCCTGTATAACAGCTCAGACACAGTGAGACGGGCGCTGTGCAGTTCAGTTCAGAGCCAAGTGGAGGGAGAGAGCCAAACTCACCGTTGATACACTCGTACACATCACAGCATCGCCCGGGGGTACCGTCGCCGCGGGAGACCACCTTGGGGGAGCTGCCCGCGGTGCATTGTGGGAAACTGCACATACCAGGCAAACACTCACACCTAGAGATGGGATGGAGAGAGGGGGATTCATAGAGTTAGCCCACATCAGATGGATACACCCTCACACCTGACTTATTTCACCTGACTACTTTTTATAACTGCCAAAGAAAGTGCATTGATTGTTGCATTCAGGGGGAGGTCGAGGCTCACCTGGTAGGAAGGGTGCAGCAGCCGTCCGCGGTGAGACGCACCTGGGTCTCATAGCTGTCAGGTGGACACTGAACCTGCTGGACAGGAGGGCACTCCACTGTGCTGCAGTCCACACTAAACACTAGATAGGGCACAACACAGAGACAATCATCAGTGCTGCAGTCCACACTATACACTAGATACAGTAGGGCAAAACACAGAGACAACCATTAGTGCTGCAGTCCACACTAAACACTAGATAGGGTACAACACAGAGACAATCATCAGTGCTGCAGTCCACACTATACACTAGATACAGTAGGGTAAAACACAGAGACAACCATTAGTGATGCAGTCCACACTAAACACTAGGTAGGGCACAACACAGAGAGAATCATCAGTGCTGCAGTAAGTATGTTAATTTGACCAGTTTCTCACAGCAGGAAAATAATCCTGCAGCAACAGGAAATGTGAATTATTAATGGACATTTTTGTAGGGGTGATACATTTTTCGTAAGGACAAATCAAGTCTGACATTTTAAAGTGGAAATTACAAACTTTAGAAGCCTTTTTAAACCTAGAATAGACTACAATTTGTATTTGCGACAACAGAGTGATCAAATTAAGATAGCATACCTGTAGGGAGGGCACAACACAGAGACAACCATGAAAAACCTTGTAGAGGAGCACATTGGGAGAAGAGTGTATTAAGAAAATAGACGTGTCAGTATTTTAACTGCAGCGTTATATGTCATACTGTCTGTTTATGTGAACAGGGAGATCACGGCACCAGCACATTCCTATCCTAGCAACCACTACTTCTGTTGGCTAGGGCCTACGTTATGCCAGGTGATAAACCACTGGCGGAAGGATACAGCTGCCATTCATGAGTGTAGCCTACAATTTGGGCATTGAGCTTGGGAAATATATTATTATATTTATTATTTCTACAATGAGCTAAGTATCAGAATCAGAAAACAATATTGCCATGTCACAAATAGTTGCTAGAAATTGTTATTGGTTGCTAGTGTACCTGGCTTGCACTCGTACAGGTCGCAGCATTCTCCAGGCTTCCCAGAGCCCTTGGATACCAATATGTTGAGGTATCCAGGTTGGCACACCTTCCTCAGGCACCCTGCAGGGCTGCAGACACAGCGGCTGGGCAGGGGACAGCACTCTCCAGGGGGTGCGTAGCCTTCGATTAGCACCGAGTCCTCAGGGCAGCGGGGTGAGAACTGCACCTCACACCGTGCCTTAGAACAGTCAGGCCGCTCCTCTGCATGAGAGAGAGATCAGATTGTTGATTGTAGCATTAAGCCAATATTTGTACAGTTACAGATGAAATAATCTGCCCTGGCTGTTATCTTTAGTGTAATGGTTAAAAACTTTCAAGGAATTTCAAACTGAAACTTTAAAACATGAAGGTTTTTCTCAGGGAATGTTTCTGAAAGGAACACTCTTGGGACACCCAGAACATTGGGCAAATGGACATTAGAGGAATCGGGAATGTTATTGCTAACATTTAAGAACCTACAAAGAACATTCAAGGAACTAAAATGTGTCGGCTGGGCAGTCAATCAAATTGACTATTGACCATTCAGGTCAAAGTCCAAGATTTTATACACACAATTAGCACAAACCCTTTTCCATCAGAAGCACAACAGTTTATTTGTGACTCCAACCTTTATTGAAACAGAGAGCTACATGAAGGAAGTATAAAAGTGCACCAGAGGGGCAGGTAAAACAAGCATTCAACATTGATGTGAACGTAAATTAAGTGAAAATGTAAATTGCTGGAATTATGAGTACAGCAAACAAACAGGAACTGAGAGAGGCGCCGCGTGCTAATGCCCTCCCTTTCAGGATAACACACAGACGCAGGAGGCTAACAGGCAGAAAGCTGAACACACACAATCGGATGTGGCACGCACGCACACAAACACACAAAATCGGCTGTGGCACGCACGCACACACACACACAATCGGATATGGCCAACTACCATCCAGTATAAATTGTGCTGTCTCCAATGTGCTGGAAAGGCTGGTGCACACACAGGTTGCCAACTATTTCTCACTCAACAGCCTATCAAAGCGGCTTTAGGAAGACAGCACATCTACAGCAGTGCAAAGGGTTGTGTAGGACAGCAAGTCGGCTTGTAACAGCCAGGAGGACACAGCAGCACTCTTCTTGGATCTGAATAAAGATTTTGACACTGTTCACCACCACACACTCCTGAGGAAGCTTGCAAAATTAGGCTTTGACAGCACTGCAATAAAGTGGTTCACATCATACTTACAGAGAAGCAGTACACGGCAAGTAGCTTAGTGGTTAAGAGCGTTGTGGCAGTAATCGAAAGGTCGCTGGTTCTTATCCCAGAGCTGACTAGGTGAAAAATCTGTCGATGTGCCCTTGAGCAAGGCACTTAACCCTAAATGCTCCTGTAAATTGCTCTGGATAAGAGCGTCTGCTAAATGACGTAAATGTAAAAATGTACGCCAAACTGCAGAGCACACAGTCAGCCCATGTACCTGTGGTGAATGGAGTCCCACAAGGGAGTTTACTTGGACCCCTACTTTTCTGCATTTACATAAATAACCTTCCATCAGTGCTGGAGAAATGTTGCGTACATTTATATGCAGATGACACAGTCCTGTACTACTCAGCGAAGACCACCCGGGAGTGTGAGGAGGCAGTGTCAAATGACATCAAGAGGGCAGCAGCTTGGTTCACTGACAACAAGCTCTCCCTACACCCTCAGAAGACCAAGGCAATGTTGTTTGGCAACCCACAAAAGCTGAGACACAGGCAAAAGTATCACAATAACAGACGGACAAAACACTTATGAACAAGTAAACCCCATAAAGTACCTGGGGATGAAGTTGGACTAACACCTACACTGGACTTAACACGCTAGCCTGGTCACAGGGAAATGTCTGGGCTTGGTGCTCTAAAAAGGGCAAGGGAGTTCGTCTCCAAGGACATTCTCCTGACAATCTACCACACCATAATAACAACTGACCTGGACTACTGTGCCACGGTATGGCTTCCCACCCTACATCAGTGCAATAAGACAGGTCTTAACCAGCTTATGGATGAGCATTTTACGTTTTTTGATTTTTATTTATTGAAACCGTAATATCAACTGGTTATATTATATCGTCAAACACAATCTTCAAAAAGGCAGTAACCTCAGCAGTGATGCTTGCTTGTACAAGCCTTTGGCTGTGCAACGGCATTGCATTGTTTTGTTAATTTAGTAGACAAGACACTCTTATTTCCTGAGTCCTTATCACAGTCAAGATGGTGTCACCATGGTGCTTGCCTATGGAGCAGTGAGGGGAACGGCACCTCCGTACCTTCAGGCTCTGATCAGTCCCTACACCCAAACGAGGGCATTGCGTTCATCCACCTCTGGCCTGCTGGCTCCCCTTCCTCTGCGGAAACATAGTTCCCGCTCAGCCCAGTCAAAACTGTTCGCTGCTCTGGCACCCCAATGGTGGAACAAGCTCCCTCACGACGCCAGGACAGCGGAGTCACTCACCACCTTCCGGAGACATTTGAAACCCCACCTCTTTAAGGAACACCTGGGATAGGATAAAGTAATCATTCTACCCCCCCCCCCCCCCCCCCCCCCCCCCCAAAAAAAAAAATAATAATAAAATAAAATAAAATAAATTAATTAATAATTGTAAAGTGGTTATCCCACTGGCTATAGGGTGAATGCACCAATTTGTAAGTCGCTCTGGATAAGAGCGTCTGCTAAATGACGTAAATGTGCCCTTGAGCAAGGCACTTAACCCTAATTGCTCCTGTAAGTCGCTCTGGATAAGAGCGTCTGCTAAATGACTAAAATGTAAATGTAAAATGTCAAGACACGCCTATTTTATAGTAAAAGAAAACATGTAATATAACTGAATAAAATATAACTTAATATTTTTTCAAATGAAAAAAGTTGCCATTGTGAAGTGATGTGCATCAAAAATATATATATATATATATTGGTCGCATACACATATTTAGCAGATGTTATTGCAGGTGTAGCGAAATGCTTGTGTTCCTAGCTCCAACAAACAGTGCAGTAATATATAACAACACATAAAAATACACACAAATCAACAACAAAAAAAGTAAAATAATGGAATATTAGGATGAGCAATGTCGGAGTCCGGAGTGTGTACATACAGTGCATTCGGAAAGTATTCAGACCCCTTTACTTTTTCCACATTTTGTTACGTTACATCCTTATTCTAAAATGGATTAAATTAAACATTTTCCTCACCTATCTACACACAATACTGCATAATGACAAAGCGAAAACAGGTTTTACGAAATGTTTGCAAATTAAAAAAAAATACCATAAATACCTTATTTACATAATTATTCAGACCCTTTGCTATGAGACTCGAAATTGAGGTGCATCTTCTTTCCATTGATCATCCTTGAGATGTTTCTACAACTGAATTGGAGTCCACCTGTGGTAAATTCAATTGATTGGACATGATTTGGAAAGGCACACACTGTCACGATCGTTTACGGACGAGAAGGACCAAGGCGCAGCGTGATATGCATTCATATTTATTTCACGAATAAACACACGACAAAACAACAAACGAAACGTGAAGTCCAAGGTAACACACAAACATACCTTACACGGAACAAGATCCCACACCCTACTAGTGCCAACAGGCTACGTAAGTATGGTCCCCAATCAGAGACAACGAGCTACAGCTGCCTCTGATTGGGAACCACCCTGGCCAACATAGATCTAAACGATCTAGAAACTAACATAGACAAACCCAACACAGAAAATACACACCCTGACTCAACCAATACAAGTCCCTAGAGTCAGGGCGTGACAAACACCTGTCCCACAGTTGACAGTGCATGTCAGAGCAATAACCAAGCTATGAGGTCGAAGGAATTGTCCGTAGAGCTCCAAGACAGGACTGTGTCAAGGCACCGATCTGGGGAAGGGTACCAACAAAAATTCTGCTGCATTGAAGGTCCCCAAGAATACAGTGGCCTCCATCATTCTTAAATGGAAGAAGTTTGGAACCACCAAGAATCTTCCTAGAGCTGGCCGCCCGGACAAACTGAACGGAGAAGGGCCTTGGTCAGGGAGGTGACCAACAACCCGATGGTCACTCTGACAGAGCTCCAGATTTCCTCTGTGGAGATGAGAGAACCTTCCAGAAAGACAACCATCTCTGCAGCACTCCACCAATCAGGCCTTTATGGTAGAGAGGCCAGACGAAGCCACTCTTCAGTAAAAGGCACATGACAGCCCGCTTGGAGTTTGCCAAATGGCACTAAAGGACTCAGACCATGAGAAACAAGATTCTCTGGTCTGATGAAACCAAGATTGAACTCTGACATGAATGCCAAGAGACAACCTGGCACCATCCCTGCGGTGAAGCATGGTGGTGGCAGCATCATGGTATGGTGATGTTTTTCAGCGGCAGGGACTGGGAGACTAGTCAGGATCGAGGGAAAGATGAACGGAGCAAAGTGCAGAGAGATCCTTGATGAAAACCTGCTCCAGAGAGCTCACGACCTCAGACTGGGGCAAAGGTTCACCTTCCAACAGGACAACGACCCTAAGCACACAGCCAAGACAACACAGGAGTGGCTTCAGGACAAGTCTCTGAATGTGCTTGAGAGGCCCAGCCAGAGCCCGGACTTGAACCCGATCGAACATCTCTAGAGAGACCTGAAAATAGCTGTGCAGCGACGCTCCCTATTCAACCTGACAGAGCTTGAGAGGTTCTGCAGAGAAGAATGGGAGAAACTCCCCAAATACAGGTGTGCCAAGCTTGTAGCGTCATACCCAAAGTGCCTCAATAAAGTACTGAGTAAAGGGTCTGAATACTTATGTAAATGTGATATTTCACTTTTCTATTTGTAATAAATCAGCAACAATTTCTATTAACCTGTTTTTTCTTTGTCATTATGCAAATATATACAAATAAAAAACTGAAAACTGAAATATCACATTTACATAAATATTCAGACCCTTCACTCAGTACTTTCTTGAAGCACCTTTGGCAGCGATTACAGCCATGAGTCTTCTTGGGTATGATGCTACAAGCTTGGCGCACCTGTATTTGGGGAGTTATTCCCATTCTTCTCTTCAGATACTTTTTATGGAGTATTGAGTGTCGATTGATGAGGGAAAAAATTATTTAATCAATTTTAGAATAAGGAAAAAGTCAAGGGGTCTGAATACTTTCAGAATGCACTGTACTTGACCCCCTCTCAATCAGAAAGATTTCT